GGAGGGTGGGAGGCAGGGACGATCATTATGTTCTTGTATTTACAAATCATATTGAATCTGTTAAAAATTAATTACTATTTAAAAGATGAAAAATATGTTAATAAATTATATCAGAATTAAATATTTTTAGATTACTTAAAAAAAAGAAAAATGAAGAACTTCAGAGGAGTGAGTGTCCAGTGAAAAGCCAACCAAGAGCAACCTGGACAGCACTGCCCAAGAGAAACACAGCAGGAGCTACACACTCAGCTTCAGATTTTCTAGTAGTCACACTGAAAACGTGGCAAGAGGGGCCGGCGCGGTGGTGTAGTGGGTAAAGCTGCCGTCTGCAGGGCTGGCACCCCATATGGGCGCCGGTTCGAGTCCCGGCTGCTCCACTTCCAGTCCAGCTCTCTGCTGTGGCCTGGGAAAGCAGTGGAAGCTGGCCCAAGTCCTTGGGCCCCTGCATCAGTGTAGGAGACCCAAAGGAAGCACCTGGCTCCTGGCTTCGGATTGGCACAGCTACGGCCATTGCAGCCATTTGGGGAGTGAACCAATGGAAGGAAGACCTTTCTCTCTCTCTCTCTCACTGTCTGTAATTCTACCTCTCAAGTAAATAAATAAATAAATCTTAAAAAAAATCTCAGAATAAGGTTGACCAAGTGCTTGGGTGAGGGAGAGAGAACGTGGGTGTTTCTGTAAGCTGAAGCTCTTCCCCAGGGAGAGGGAAGACAGGGAAGGCACGGGTAACACTTAAAAACGAATGATGAAGGCTGGGAAATGAAACTTAAAGGCAGAAATATTGAAATAAGTAAGTCATTACAAACAAGTCCAAATACACCAATAGTCATAATAAATAAAGCAGGAATGGAGAAAAGCCATTGTCTTGTGCTCACCGCGTCTTTCTGTTTTCCTGAGCACACAGCTAAACGACATTTTTCCAGCCCCCGTGCTGCTATCTGGGGTCATCATTTACTGCTTGCCAGTGGAATGTGAGCAGGGCTGACATGTCCTGTCTGGTCTGAAGCCGTACCAGCAGGTGTGCTTTCCCCAGGCTCACTCTCCTACCAGCACAGCTCAAAGCAAAGTTCTTGTCAACAGCGGATGCAAGACGGAGCTAGCCTGGGCCTGCGAGGCAGCGCCTGGGGGACAGCTGTGCAGTGTCCGGCCTGCTTTGAACTGTATTTTGTTAAACCACCGCGACTTCAGTGTTTGCTGCAGAAGCACGCTTGTGACATTTATTTCCAAGACCTACATCTACAGCCTAAGTGTACAGAAAGAGTGAAAACAAAAGGATAGAAAAAGATATGCCAAACAAATACCAACCCAAAGAGATGCTGTGGATATCGTTGTCAGACAAAACTGACTTTAGGACGGAAAGGTAGGCGCTGACGCTGTGGGGTCGCAGGGAAAGCCGCCGCCTGCAGCACCGGCATCCCACATGGGTGCTGGTTCACATCCTGGCTGTTCCACTTCCAATCCAGCTCCCTGCTAATACACCTGGGAAGGCAGCGGAGGATGGGCCAGGATGGGCCAGGAGGATGGGCCTGCAGCTGCGTGGGAGACCCGGAAGAAGCTCCTGGCTCTGGCTTCAGATGGGCCCAGATCCGGTGGTTGTGGCCATCTGGGGAGCGAACCAGCAGATGGAAGATCTCTCTCTCTCTCTCTCTCTCTCTCTCTCTGTAACTCTGCCTTTCAAAATAAAATAAAATAAAATAAAATAAAATCTTAAAAAAAAAACCCAGGAAGATAGTCAGAAGGATTTGGGAAAAGGCTAAATTCACCAAGATAATAATTCCAAACAGGAAGCTCTTAATAACTTACATATGTAGTAGACAAAAATTGATCAAAAAACCAAAGTAAAACAGGAGGCGGGCATTTATCCTGCTGGTTGAGATGCTGGTTGAGATCCCCATCACATGTAGCAGTACCTGGGTTTGAGTTCCAGCTCCAGCGTCTGACTTGAGCTTCCTGCTGCTGAGACCTGGGGAGGCAGTGGTGATGGCTCAAGCAGTCGGATCCAGATTCCTGTCACCCACATGGAGAGCTGGATTGAGCTTCCAGTTCTTGGCTTCCCCCAGCCCCAGTCCTGGTCACTGAGGATGCTTGGGGAGTGAAGCAGGAGATGTGAGCTCCCTTTCTCCATCTGTCTGCCTCTCAAATAAACAAATTAACTGAAATGCAAAAGGGAAATAGAAATGTATTGAAAAACCTAAAGAGATTTAAATATACTACTTTTAGTTAGTTATAGGTCAGTCCCCAAATAAGGAAAGATATATAATAAACGAGAGTGGCAAATTCAACACCTGTGGTCCAATGAACATGCACATGCATAAAATTTGTCATGCAGGGGCCGGTGCTGTGGCTTAGTGCTTTGGGCCGGTGCTGTGGCTTAGTGCTTTAGGCCACTGTCCACAGTGCTGGCATCTCATATGGGAACTGACTTGAGTCCTGGCTGCTCCACTTCAGATCCAGCTCCCTGCTAATGCACCTGGAAAAGCAGTGGAAGATGGCTCAGGTCCTTGGTTCCCTGTGCCCTCATGGTAGACCTGGAAGAGTCTCTTGGCTCCTGGCTTCCAATAGGCACAGGTCTAGCTATTGTGGCCATTTGAGGAGTGAACCAGCAGATGGAAGATGTCTCTCTCTCTCTCTCTGTATGTATATGTAATTTTGCCTTTCACATAAATAAATAAATCTTAAAAAAATTCTTTGTCCAAATAATTAGAGCACTGTGAAATATTTATAGAAATTGAGTACATCCCAAGTGATAAAACAAGTCTTGATAAGCTTCAAAGACAATGTATCAGAATGACAGGTCCTTTGAAAAAAAATTTTTTTTTTTTTGGACAGGCAGAGTGGACAGTGAGAGAGAGATAGAGACAGAGAGAAAGGTCTTCCTTTGCCGTTGGTTCACCCTCCAATGGCCGCCGCGGCCGGCGTGCTGCAGTCGGTGCACCGCGCTGATCCGAAGGCAGGAGCCAGGTGCTTCTCCTGGTCTCCCATGGGGTGCAGGGCCCAAGCACTTGGGCCATCCTCTACTGCACTCCCTGGCCACAGCAGAGAGCTGGCCTGGAAGAGGGGCAACCGGGACAGAATCCGGCGCCCCAACCGGGACTAGAACTTGGTGTGCTGGTGCTGCAGGCGGAGGGTTAGCCTATTGAGCAGCGGTGCCGGCTGTGATTATGTTTTAAGTTAATAACAAAACATTTTTTAAATGCTCCCTATATTTTGAAACAAAAACCACTCAATATCCAATTGTTTCTCTTATTTCACTGTATTATTCTTTTATTTCCTACATGTTCATGCTTTACCAACACTATAGCCATAAACAACATAATTCCAAGTACTGTATAGTTTGGGAACTCAAACATGGCTTCAGCTCCCGCCCTGCTTGGGAAGAGACAAGATGGTGAGGCACCTGAGCAGGGCAGGACCTGGGCAGTGAGGAGAAGGTTCATTCCTGCACAAATGTCTACTGGGCACCTACTGTGCACTAGGTATCATTCTAGACACTGGGGCTCGGAAACAGAGTAGCCAAAGTGAGGGCTCTCGGGGCCAGCACTGTGGTGTAGGAGGCTGTCTCTGCCTGCAGAGGCAGCATCCCATGTGGGCGCTGGTTCAAGTCCCGGCTGCTCCTTTTCCAATCCAGCTCTCTGTTATGGCCTGGGAAAGCAGTGGAAGATGGCCCTAGTGCTTGGACCCCTGCCATCCACGTGGAAGACCCAGAGGCCTGGAGGAGGCTCCTGGCTCCTGGCTTTGGATCAGCCCAGCTCTGGCCGTTTGGGGAGTGAATCAGCAGATGGAAGTTTCTCTCTCTCTCTCTCTCTCTCTCTCTATATATATATATATGTGTGTGTGTGTGTGTGTGTGTGTGTGTATGAATACATATATATCCCCCCCCCTCTCTGTAACTCTACCTCTCAAATAAATAAATAAATAAATCTTTCAAAAGAAAAAAGGTGAGGACTCCCCATAGACAGAGCCACCCAAATCCGTGAACAGCTGTAATTTGGTTAATTCGCAGCCAGAAGCCGGGCTCTGCTTCACCCAGGGTAGGAATCCTTTATTCCTGGGAGAAAGGGTGTCGGAGCAGTTCCCACCCGAGAGTAGGCTGAGGCTTCCCAGGAATGCCCCAGCACGGCCCCAGCCTGCTGAAAACATGGGTTACTGGCTCCGCCCTGGAGAGGTTCACTGATCGGGTCAGCAGGGACCCTTCCGAGAGACACTCGTGAGTAGCCAAGTTTGAAACCACAGACCCAAGTGATTTGTCAGATCCCCTGCAGGCTGAAAGTCATTGATCTCATCATCTTTGACAAATGGCCTTCAGATATTTGGTTAGAATTTGGATAGACAATGTTGAGGTTTTTTTTTTTTTTTTTTTTAAATTGAGCTAAATTCTTCAGGGTCTCCCATTAGCCAAGAAGGCAGAGGCAAGGGTGGCCCAGCCCCCATGCGTCAGCCCCCCGGGCAGTGGGGTGGGCAGATGGAGGTGGCCAGCGGCCTCCACCCACCACACAGCAGTCCCCGGAAGTGAAGGGCCTCACGAGTCTTCACACAGAGCATCTCCAAGGGTCTCAGCCTTTTTCTTACCCAGTGAAGTAAAACAACATTTTGAAACTGATTTAAAGTTTTGAAGGGTGTTCACTGGACTGCGTGCCCAGTGTTTCCCTTTCAACGTCTCTTGATAAACTGTATTTCCTGTCTCACCTCCAAGTTTGTCTGCACAAAGTTCCAGGGAGGCTAGGACTCCCCCATCACGGATCAAGAGGGTGAGAGGATTTGTGAGCGCAGCTGTGGGGCGCTCCGGGGGCCTTGTGCCCCCTCAGAGGCCCCTTCTTGGAGGACATTGACCCAAGTCCCTCCAGCACCCCAGAAGGAAGCTCCCTCCACACCCTGCAGATGGAGTCTCCCGGGCGCAGGACCCAGGCCCTTCACTTCTTTACCCGGCAACAGATGGAGTACTGAGAGGCTCGCTCTGATTGGCTGACCCTAGCAGACTCCCCTGGGCCCTGAGTCTGTTTTTCTCTTTATCTCCGCCTGTTCCTTTACTCCCCACACAGACTAAGACTTACTTGGCTAAAGCACAGAGGGCAATGGCCCTCCGTGCCGGGCTGGTCCTGGGACTGCACACCCTGAGGATCCTCCTGAGCCCGAAGGAAGCAGGTGCCATCACGGGTGAGTGCAGAGGGCGCTGCGGGAGGAGGGGAGACCAGGGTCTGTTTATGTGCAACTTCCTTCGCCAAAACCTGCAGATCCTCTCACCTTTCTCACCTCCCTCTCACCTCTTCCACATCCGGTCTGGATCTAAATGCAGCACGGCTCAGTCCAGCTGGGCCAGGGTCTCCTTCTGACTTTTTTTTTTTTCCTTCAAGTTCAGCTTCCTCCCCCTGCCTTCCTTCTCTCTGAGACCCAAACGCCACCCCACTGCTGCCCTGCACCGGATTTCTCTACCACTTCCTGGCTCGGGGTGGCTCATTCAAGTCCAGTGCCACTGCAGCAGTTATGGCAGCGGTTATCACCGAGCCGGGTTAGCTGCGGGTCTGTTCCAGGCAGATGGGCACCTGCTGGTGCATCATGCTGCGCACACAGTACAGTCCCAGAGGGCTGAGCAAGTAACTTCCCTGGATGCTAAAGGACCCATACCCAGTAAAACCCAGCCCCAAATTCCCAGAGAGCTGAGCCTCCTTTATGGGAGGGGACACAGTCAGCCGTGATCCTCTGAGATGGAAGAGCTGGGATGTGAACCTTGAGCTACTGATTCTTCTCCAGTGCTCTTGTGCGATGCCTCGGGCTGCCTCTTTCAAGCCCCTTGCTCTCCGAGTCACACGTTTCACACATTTGCATTCTTCCTGCCAGTCCTTGCCCGCCCGCCCCATAATGATAATGTCCTCACTTTATAGAATTAGTGAGACTAAAGCCAGATGATATCTGTAAAGCTCTGAACACACTGACTGGCATGTTATAGAGCTTGATGTGTGTAGGACAGTTATGGTAGTAAACCTGACAGCTATTCCAGAGTTTACATCACTTGCTATTGAACTGTCCTGGGGACTATATTCAGGGGCAGAGTCCTAAATCAAAGGATATTTTGTCAAGATAATGGAATTGTATTTTCTTCCACTCAATTGGAAGCTGTATGTAAAATACGAATGGCTACTTTTATGGAGTGGGGGAATAGATGCAGTTTTAGACAGCAAGAATATTAGATACCCACTAAAATAAGGCCCATTGCTCCTCCAAATGTTTCTAGTGTGAATATAAAAGCTTCATTTCTTATTTAGGAGTTTACTGGTGTATTATGATCATAATATGTCAGGGCAGTTCCCATTGATGATAAAATAAAGTTTGATTTTGGCCTATTAATTTGTGCTTCATTTGTTCCTAAAAGTAAGCAAACAAAAACTTCTTGAAGTTTGTATGTCACTATTAAAGAATATATGAGATGATTCTGCTGATGATTGTGCCTAAATTCTGAACCTTTGTTTCTTTTTTC